GGACTACAAGTCCCAGTAATGCATTAGAGCGGGGGGGGGGGGGGGGTGGCTGGGGTGGGGGGGGGGGGGGGGGGGGGCGGGCAGTAATGGTATTCAGAGGGTGGGGACTCACAGCAGCCAATCGGAGCTCGGTTAAATGATAAGTAAACGTCTTTAGGTTGCCATGAGTAATTTTACTTGTTGCGTTATATGCAATAGGGAGAGTGGAACTCCCTTGTATTGCTCAAGGAAAGTAGGCGGAGCTAGGAACCTAGGCATGACCATCTCCTAAAAGCAAATATCACTTTTGGGTTGAGTGACCCTTTAATGTCTGTTGCCTTCTCTGCGTGATTTCCCCCATGTCCTCCTCAGCTGCATTACCTGCGTCTTCCTAAGGACATCAGCGAGGACCACGTTATTCTCATGGACTGCACGGTGTCCACAGGAGCAGCAGCCATGATGGCGGTCCGTGTACTGCTGGTAAGCATGTGACGGGACTGGGGAGTTGTAGGGAACCGTGTGACTGACTGAGATGTCTTCATAACATTGTTTTATCTGATCAGGATCATGAAGTTCCCGAAGAGAAGATCTTCCTGCTGTCTCTGCTCATGGCGGAGCTGGGCGTCCACTCCGTGGCTTATGCCTTCCCACGCGTTCGCATTCTAACCACCGCCGTGGATAAAAAAGTCAATAACCTTTTCCGAATCATCCCGGGAATAGGTAGGAGCCCGATTCTTCAAATCCCTACTCCCTCTATTCCCCCGACTGCCATGATGGCATTATTGTGCATTGTGGGGTGCTGCGCTGCATTGCGCTCGGCTGTACAATACGATGGGGTGACAGTCACGATGAATGCTACCACACACAGAATGGGTGCGCTGCCATGTGTCGTGGTTAACATGTGCGTTGCCACAATCCACAAGTGTGATTGGCCCCTCAGTCTAGCCATGCTATAGGTGGGGTCATTTTCCATGGAGATGGGTTTTCACAATATTGCTGCGCTCAGGTCAAGTTTTAGGACTAGTATAAGGGAAGGGTTAGGGGTGAGGGTGAGCCTTAGGGCCATGTTAAGGTAAGAGGTCATGGAGGGGGGGGGGGGGGGAGAGGACTAGTATAAGGGAAGGGTTAGGGGTGAGGGTGAGCCTTAGGGCCATGTTAAGGTAAGAGGTCATGGAGGGGGGGGGGGGGGGAGAGGACTAGTATAAGGGAAGGGTTAGGGGTGAGGGTGAGCCTTAGGGCCATGTTAAGGTAAGAGGTCATGGAGGGGGGGGGGGGGGGAGAGGACTAGTATAAGGGAAGGGTTAGGGGTGAGGGTGAGCCTTAGGGCCATGTTAAGGTAAGAGGTCATGGAGGGGGGGGGGGGGGGAGAGGACTAGTATAAGGGAAGGGTTAGGGGTGAGGGTGAGCCTTAGGGCCATGTTAAGGTAAGAGGTCATGGAGGGGGGGGGGGGGGGAGAGGACTAGTATAAGGGAAGGGTTAGGGATGAGGGTCAGCCTTAGGGCCATGTTAAGGTAAGAGGTCATGGAGGGGGGGTGGGTAGGACTTGTATAAGGGAAGGGTTAGGGGTGAGGGTCAGCCTTGGGGGGGGCATGTTTTTCACTTGTTTTTGCCACCTAAACCTATGTAGTGATAACCGGCAGGTACCAATTTCAGGAATTCCAGCCCCCCATCCGTCCTGACACACAATGCCTCATGGGATTTGTAGTTCCACAACAGCTGGAGGGTCGGAGCTTGCTCACCCCCGGTGCACCCCACGACTGGTCAGTTTTTCTTACAGTCTTGTCTTTTCTTCCAGGTAATTTCGGGGACCGCTATTTCGGCACAGATGGCCCTGCGGACTGGAGCGATGAAGATGACCCGGCTTGATTCCCCCTCCGCTGGTACAAATCTCTGACAACAGGAACAAAGTGATGTAGCAGAGTTTCCATAGCAACCAGATTCCACGTGTCCGTTTCCCAGGTCCAGAGAACACAAGCTGGAATCTGGTTGCTATGGACGACGGCTCGGCTTTCATATTGCTCCAGTTTTCATAAATCGTGTAGCTACCAGAACCGA